ATGCTTGTAATTGATCTGTATAACCTGCCTACCTCACAGAGGTGTCACTGAAGCTTTCAAGAGCCTTTCAACAGAACTCTGTAGCAATGAAATTCTCAGATGACAGAATGCCTGTCTATTGTCATACATGAAACTAATTATGAAAGCAATATTGTAGAGGATGTGAAAAAGAATAAGCAAAAAAACTAAAATATCTTTACAATACCCCCCCCCCATTTTTAAAAAAGTTCTTTATCAGGAATATCTATGTTCTCCAAACAACCATTGTTTTCTGGAATGAATACTGAGCAACTGTTCACACCCCCCAAAAAAACTTTAGTAGTGTTTGTCATATTTTTGCAGATGCAATTTTTGACCTAGATAAGGCAAATAATAAAAACTGATGACAGGGAGAGCAAATAGGAGACAATTGGATGCCATCTTTTGCCAGGGCAAAGGAATCTTCATAAAAATCACCTCATAGCTCGGTGCCTACTTACTGGGGGGAGGCACTACAAGAATGATTTTATCATTCAGAATAACAATGAAATACTTTTTAATCCTTTGTTTACAACAGAGTAGGACATTAATATGTTCAAGATTAATACACAAGAAGGGTTAAAGAGGTTAAAAAGGGGTTAAAGACGAAGCCACCAAAACTCTGGTTTCTAATTTCTAAGCTCCTACCTTGTTTACAAATAAAAAGCACTTGTGAAATTCTTAAATGTTCAGGCTTGTGAGTTCTATAAAAGAACTCAGGATTTTACACTGCATCTTTTCTTTTTTCTTTCAGAAGCCACATTGTCATACCACTGTGTGCAATACTGTACTGTATTACATATAAAATATATTTTTTTAAGGATGTAATTTTCAGGATTATTCTCTAGAGGGCACAATTTTACTATTCAATGATGCCTACAGCACCATTTTTTCAAGGAAGCAAGTTGCTTTGAGCTTAAACAGATTTTTGTTCAAAGCTGTAGCAAAATACTCCCATGTGCTGCATTATTGCAGACCAGTATCTAATTGGGTTGCTGGCCCTCAACACTGACAGGAAGTGTCATGATGGTTGGGACTGATGAGCACAGCACTTTGGTACATTAAGCCCTTTATCTAGCTGGTTGATCCAGACTCATTGTTTCAATAAACCTGAAAAGGGCTGATCCTGTAGCCTAGCATAATATGTCATTCACTGTTTACTGCAAACAGCCTGACTAAGATAAATATTTCTTTCGGTACACACAACCATGCAAGTCAGCAGATGGTGATGTGACAGTAAAAGGAGATTAGCAAGACAATGAAAACACTATCTGTTTACAACTACCAGTCAGCCCCCAACTATAAAATAGTCCTCTCTTCCTCCAGGAAAGAGAGCTGAATGTGCTAAAGGCTAGGGAGGAAAAAGATTGTATACATCATCACAGAACTATTACTGAAATCTGACTACACAATTGTCCATTATTGGTTCATCACTCATTACTGTCATTCTATATATTAATAGCAAACTTAATTTTTGTGTTGATCCTGCTATAGGCAAAATGACCCCGTCCTTATATAATAAGGAGATATCAGCAGTCACAAGAAAATCCTCAGTTTTGCTCAAATACCCGCCCACAAAATGGGGAAGATATCTTGAATCAAGATTTTAAAAAAAACAGGAGGGCAATCAAAATGGACTCTTGAAACAGAAACCTTATTTGGTTGGACTACTGAACAGGAATAACGTATCCTATAATGTATTTGTGGCAGGGTATGCCTGTACTTATATACTCTGGGTTCGACTGACATATATTGATAAACTAAAGGAAAACTAGGGTCCTTCCACAGTCAAGATACTGCATTTTCCTGTGATACTGTGGGGCTTCAAGAGCTCAAGGAAAGCAGGAAGTTAGTAGGATTTCTATCAGAGAAAATGCTGTTAGAAGAATTTTGCAGTGCTTCCTTTGGAGATTTAGAGCACAACATCTTCCTATGAGCTCCAGCACTGTTCTTCTCCAGACTCTAGGATCCCCCTCCCCTCCCCTTCCCTCAAGGTGCTATGGCATCTTGGTTTCTTTCCCATCTTTCCCAATTAATGAAGGATTGCCTTTGCTTTTTCTTGGACAGTGGCTATCTTGGTTTTTTTTCCCTTTCCTTGCTATAAAATGGTGAATTGAAGACTGAGGATGGTGTGGGACACCTGCTGACTCTTGTTTCTGGTGTTGGAGAGAACACTGACAAACTCAAGGAATCAGGTTTTATGGCAATGCTAAAACCAATGATTTCTTCATACCTAACACTGTCTTCAAACAGCCAGAATGATGCCCATATACGTGGACATCACCAGATGGAGTGCATAAAAAGCAAATTGACCATATTATTGCTAAAAGGAAGTGGAGGAGCTCAATTATAGCATCAAAGACATGGTGAGGAGCTGTCAGCCTTCCCAGGTAGACCAGACAGGAAACACAACAAGATCTAATTGTACTTTATTGTAAGGCTACATTAACAGAATCTTGCAAGTCTGAAAGTACAAATTTCCCATCATCTCTTTTTACAGCCTGATAGTATCCTTTCTAAGTTTCTTTCTCTGCCTGTTATTGCAGCTGCAGGCGCCCCACCCACCCACCCACTACCTGATCATTCCCTAGGCAGCATCTCTTCCCCTCATCTCCCAAGGTCATTCTCACATATCATTACAGGTGCTGACAGCGGAACAGATCATAAACTGTTAATTTGCAAGTTCCACGTTAAGCTAAATAATAATAAGAAAGCCAACCAGTTTCCACAATATGACTTTTGAGCATTACCCATCATTTTCAAGGAGAACATTAGGAATTGCTTTGAAGTCCTGAATCTCATTGATGCAGAATCAGAGGAATTGTGGATTGAACTTAAAGAAGTCATTAAGAATGAATGTGAAAACAGAATACCAAAGATGGAGAAACAGAAATCAAACTGGATATCAGAACAAACCATGGAAATTGCCAAGAAGAGAAGAGAAGCCAAAACCAAGAATGATAAAATCTCAGAAAGGAACTTATCAGAGTTTCAGAGACCTGTTAGAAGAGACAAGGAGCAGTATTAGAGAAACAACTATAAATATTGTAAATTCAACTTATATGCTGAATATATATGAAGGGAAGTTAGACTGGAAGATGTACATGGTTTTAAAATTGGAGGAAGAAACATCAACAACCTGCACTATACTGATGACACTACTCTGACAGCCAAAAATGCAAAGGATCTGCAAGCTCTAGTAATAAAAGTCAAGGAGCGCAGTGAAAAAATGGGACTAAAATTAAGATTAAAGAAAACCAAACTAATGGCAACAGGTACACCAACCAGACTTAGAAATGACAGTGAAGATATTGAAGTGGTAGATAGCTTCTGCCTTTTAGGATCAACCTTCAACAGTAAAGAAACAAAGAATACGCTGCAGACTAGTAGAGCAACCATGAAGGCCTTGCAAAAGATATTCAGATGACATGACGTGTCTGTACCTACAAAGATCAGAATGTGCAAGCAATGGCATTCCCTGTGACACTCTATGAAAGCGAAAGTTGGACTTTGAAGAAACAGGATAGGAAAAGTATTGACACTTTGGAACTTTGGTGTTGGAGAAGACTCCTGAGAATACCATGGACAGCCAAGAAAACAAACAAATGTATCATAGAACAAAGCAATCCAGAGTTGTCATTTGAGGCACAAATGACCAGGCTCAAACTATCCTACTTTGGACATATGATGCGAAGACCTAGCTCTCTGGAGAAGGCTCTAATGCTGGGAAAAGTGGGAAGAAAAAGAAGAAGAGGATGACCAGTAGCAAGATAGATGGACTCAGTTACAGTGGCCATGGGATACCACTGGAAGACCTGAAAGACTAGGTTAGGAACAGATTGTTATGGAGAAAATCTATTTTATGTGGTCTTGATGGCACATAATCAATCAAAAATGCTCTGTCATTTGGATGGGAAAGACAGTAGCCCAGAATATATGTACAGAAGCATCCTTTAATGATGCTAACTTATGATAGCAATGTAGCTCAAATTACTGAGGAAAAGAGAGTACTGCTTCATGAGGACTTCAAAAGCTACCTTTTGTCTCACATTGGTATCCTTGGTTTGCTCTGCAAAATAAAGTCTAGCTAAGCCGTGGCTCAGAAGGAATCAGAAAACTGTTTTTAAAAATTACAGTGGGTAGATAACTCCGCTCTGGTGGGAACTCTGGTCTCATCCTGGTTCTTTGGCTCTCTTACTCCCTTCTCTCTCTTGATGGAACCAGCACCACATTGCTGCTTCTCTAATGAAAAGATGGAGGGCAGACTTTTAAAGCTCTTCCACATTCAATGGCCAGTCTTTTGCACAAATAACAGAGAAAGCACATAGAACACAGCAAGAATGGGCACACAGAATTAAACTATACTTTCTCATCCATAAACGTGGGGAATATGATGCACAGGATACTCTAGGCACAAACATTAATCAGTCTCAAAGCCCTTATGTTTTTGTAGTTTACAAATGTATCTACCCACTGATTTATTAGTCAAGTTTATTTACTTTGAAGTGTACTGTATACTTCTTTTCAGCCCTAACTAGAATAAACTTACTTTTACTGCCTTCTAAACATTCAGGGATAGACCCATTTCACCACATTGGTGGGAAAATTCTATAATCAGGGTGCTGCCACAAAGAAAGCCTTGTTACATGTTTCCTCCAAACAATTCCCAAGGACAGTCAGCATGCTCGTATGCTGCAGTCTGAAGAAAGATTCTCAGGCTGCCCTATTTAATTTGCAGTTCTTCAAGTTCAGCTTCATCAGCATACCCAAAACAGAGAAATAAATATACATACTATATACATAAATTTTAAAAAACTGGCCATCATTTTATAGTAAGATCATTCTGCAAATAAGGAAGCATATAACTGTATGACATTAAAAGCTGTCCTCTGTGAAGAAAGGGAACAGTACAGTAAGCAAACATGTTTAATGACTGTTAATCTTATGACAAAAGAAAACTAGCCATCCACAAACACACCAAGCACATTTTCAATAGTAACAGCATTCACCTGCTCTGGTCTTGCGCAAATGGGTGACTTAAAGCCACACCTTTTCTCTCTTTCATACACAGTGGCAAACACCAGATCTTCTCAAGCCCAAAACAAATGAGACTTGCCCACTTGCCCAAATGGCTATCTGTAATATTTCCTGGCTCACTCCCAGCTATGGACAGTTTGCTGTTTTTGCTTGAAAGGAGCTACTCAAGCCCAGTGAAGTATGTCATTCTATAAATAATAAGAATCCTGTTTTTTTAACATTTGTTACAGGAACAAGGTTAGATCTGCAACTTCATACATGGCAGGAAACAACCTTGAAGATACATTATGAGCATGGCAATGGTGAGCAAGCTGCTTATCAAGAACATACCTGTACTATGATCTCACTATGACTCTTTACTAAACATTCAGCCTCATTTGCAATTGGGAAACAAGAATAGCCACTAACCTTACAAGGTCATTCTAAGGAGTACCACTAGGTAATATATGCAAAGTACTGTGAGTGTTTGAATACACTATAATTATTAATATTCTTATCACACAGGCTGAATAACAGGAGTTATCAAAATTAAAGATAGAATTAGCAGGGGGATGTAAAGAGAATAGGGAATGGCCTTGAAGGACAAGAGTGTTGTGACCAAAACCTGGCTCACCTAAAGCAACCAAATCACTTTGAAGATACAACATAAATTGATTAAGCATGCAAACAGCAACAGTGTTCACCGGGCTCCCAGCAAAGCACTGACAGCAGAACCACAGCTTATACACCTTTGGCCCACTACATTTCAAAGACAAGAGAAAGGAAAAGGCAGACACAATGTAAATTACAGCATGACATTGGAATGTCTTTGATAAACCCATCTGGGTGACCTTCTCATTATTTATCAATTCCTACTAGGTCAGCATGCTAACTATACTATCTTTGAGATATGTTGAGCCACTGGTTCCTGGGATATGGTTTATTGGGCCACTGGTTCCTGTCTGATGCCTCCGTGTCACCACTCAGGGTTAAGTCAGCTTGCTATGAATGTTTTCTTACAAGGGCACTTTAAGCAGTTCACATGTATGGTTGGGGGGGAGGTCATCTTATAGGGTTGGCAGTGAATGCAGCTCATGTGTGTCGGGGGGGTACCTTATTCCACTACAAGAGGAAGAGCCACTACCAAGACAACAGTCAGATATGTGGGGCTTGAATCCAGGCCAAGAAAATAACTTGAGAACACATCTCAAACAAGCCCCTCCCTAGTTCTCATGAAGATAAAGGGAGAGAGGGGGGAGCACATTCAGACTTGGAAGATTCTGTTACTAGAGCTGTTACAATAAAAATCATCTGGACCTTTATGGTACTGGTGTCTTAATCTGGTCTACCTTGCTGGGTTGACAGGGGCCAGTGCAACTTCCAATGTGCTGCACTGCAATTCTTTCCACCATACATGTTGATATGATGGCATGGCTTCCTGCCACTCTGAGATAAACAAAACCTGCAGTATCAATCTTAAAATAAATTTAACATAGTGTAGTGGTGAAAAGTAAGCCCCCCAACAACTTGCTTTCATTACCAACCCTATAAGATGTCCCCCCACCCCGGGATATGTAAACTACTTAAAGTGGGCCAGTGGGATGCTGAACAGGCAGGTTCAGGAATGTCTCTGAGAAGAACTCTTCAAGGCACAGGTTCTGGTGGAAAGCACTGTGAAGGACTCTGCGAGGGCGAGCCCAGAGTAGGTGCAGAATGTACAGAGAAAACTCTGCATGGGCGAGTTGGAAATAGGTTTGGATTCTGCTGGCTGACTCTGCAAGGGTGAGTAACAGGCAGTATAGTCTACGTAAGTATATAAAAACTTTATGTGCTTGTGTTTGCTAACCTCTCTCCCTGCTGAATGTTTTGATTGGACTCCATATGAACTTTCCCATCTGTACACCAGGACTAGGCATCTCTTTCTCTCAGCCGCCCTCGTATGCTGAGCTAAGGACTCATTGACCACCGTGTGCTGGAAAGCAAGGTACTCAAGGGACACACACTTTGGCAGAACACAGGAGCACCCCTGCTTTTCAGATGGGCACCCAAGTTAGCAGAAAGGCTTCAAAACTGGGTGAAAAAGAGAGCTTGCAACTGATTAATTCACAGGCGCAGCAACACACTTTTTAAAGCACCAAACGCCACACCACATAAACAGGGTAACCTTTCCCATGACATTCATTAGTTTCATTTAATTCAACAACTTTCTTTGAACATGCTTTACCCGTTGTTTTCCTAAAGTATTCAGTAACAAAGGAAAAGAGAAGAATAGTTTAAGGAGAAAAGAGAAACTACAATCCTCTTCCTCCCAAAATACTAACCTGGGATAAAATTAAAAACCAAAGCCTACATAAATGCAGGCCTGACTTTGACTCATGTATTTTACTTCATCCACTTTGCATACAGTAAGGCCCTTGAACTCTCCCTGTCATCGGGATGCAGGTGAAAAAAGGTGTAAACCCCAAGGGAACCCAAAAGCTAGAGGACCACACGCTGCCAGTTATAGCTTTCCTGGTAAGCTGATGTAGTACAATATGAAAAATAAAACCACCCCGCCCCACCGCCACCACCAGGAAAATTCAGCACACCTTGCACCTCCTGGCGAGCTGCTTTCTTGGTAAACTTAGCAGAAAGGCTTGAACCAAAGTGTCATGGATTCAGCTAATGGAGGACAGTGAAACTGCCAGTTTGGCCATACCTTTCCTGCATTAACAAGAGTCGCAATCTCATCCAGATAAGGACCACTTGATGCAAAAAATGACCACCGGTAATGGATCCCATTATAAAGATGCTGCGAATGAAAAAAAAAAGCACAACACTGAAAAGTAAGTAAAACTGCATAGCCTTCCACAAACATTTTAGTGAGCTATGACCTACTTATGCAAAGGGGAAAAAGCAAAAAATACTGGGTTTTCCTAACTGACCTTCAAAACCTTCGCACCAATAGTGATGCCAGTCCGCAGCATGCCATCGGCTATTCCAAGTCTGTCCATGTTCACTAAAAAGGGTGTCACCAAAGACACATATCTGGCTCCTGACCACTTTTTGAGAAGATCAGGAGCCCATTTTTCAGTAGGTCCACCAACATTATCTAGGATGAAATCAAACCTAGAAAGAAAAATGCAAGCACCAATTAAATTTTCAAAAAGCAAGTGAATAAATGTGACTTTTACTTTCACCAAGTAGGAAACAGTAGCACAAACAATACTAGAAGCGAATATACAGTAGAGTCTCGTTTAACCGACCTTCGCTTATCCGACATTCCGTCTTATCCGATGCCCCTAAAAAAAACACAACACGCATAAATTGGCGACGAGAAAAGTGTGCCGCTTGTTTGCAAGCGTGAGTATACTCTTTCATGTTGCTCCTGATGGTGCGGCGCCGCAACACAAAAATTGATTGCAACAGGCGCAGCAGATCGGTTTGTTTTTTTTTACCACACTCAATCATTACTGTGTGTTATCCGACATTTTCGCTTATCCAACGTTCTGCCGGCCCGTTTATGTCGGATAAGCGAGACTCTACTGTAATTTCTGTAATACAGTGGTACCTCAGGTCACGAACTTAATTTGTTCTGCGACTCTGGTCGCGACCCAAACTGGTCGCAACCCGAATCAAATTTTCCCATAAGGTTCAATGTAAATACGGTTAATCCATTC